GCTCAGTGCTGCGCTGTGCCGCCACGATCTACCCAAGGGCTGCACGTTGCACGTGCCTTGTGCATCGACGCTCCTTGCGCTACTTTTAAAACATGAACGGGCTTTACGTGTAACAAGGGCATAAGTATGAAACAGAGTATAGAAGCCACCCCAGAGCCGTTTATACTTGGGGTTGTTCGTTTTTGGGTAAAACCCGATTTTACCCTGTTTTTACACCCCGAACATGCTTCAGGAGAATCGGGTTAAACCCGATTTCTCCCGAATTCCAAAACTACATAACCAACCTATTTATTTTTACGCCGCACGGAGTTTGCAGTGCACATGCGCAATAGCTACCCTACCTCAGGACAACAGTGACCTATAGTTCATTTCGCAAGCTGCGTGCAGCACTGTGGACGCTGCAAGACTCTCAACCAACAGCTTAACGAACGCGCCTAACTCACCATGACATTCTACGGAGGCCGGCTGAGCAAAAGCGGGGCCTCGGAGGGGCATTTCCGTCCACCCGCTGTGCAGGTGGAACCGCCTCGGCACGCCATGTAGCTTAGGCCCTGCTGCACGCAGCTTGAAAAATGCACTATAAATCCCCCTTCGACCGCTGAGGTGTCGACGCCCAGCAGGATCTCTCGGGTAGCATGGCCATCTCGCTGACGTCCAACCTTTCTCACGAACAACGTCCGAGCCATTCAGTCGCGCAAACAGATCGGGAAAACTTAACAGGTTTATTCCATAGTGAAATATCTGATCGAAGACGACCGTCTCTCAAACGGTCGGGGTTTTGGTTGACACCTGAGGGAAAGGAGGATTCCGTGGGCAGTGCTCCCCTTGAAGCGACGGACGGCAATCGGAGCTGGAAAACCCTGATGTCTCCCCGATTACCAGCTTGAAACAGACCCCCAATTTTAACGCGTTAGCGTTAAAGAGCTCGTAATACACTCCTATATAAAAACATTGAATGTATTATTGAGTAGATTTGTAAATTTAACCCGAAAAAAAAAAAACCCGGATTTTGGGTTGTTTCCACAAAAAAAAAAAAAAAAAAAACGATTTCTCCCCGATTATCGGGTTGAAAAATAGCACCCGATTTTTACCCCCAAATTTAAAAATATACAAAACCCGAAAACGAACAACCCTTTTTATACTGAGAGAGCTTGGCCTTCTTAAGGAGATTTTGACAGCCTGGCAATCACAGCAGCATAGTCTGACAATCGGGGGAGGACTACTTTCGTCCGCCATTTTGTGGCTCTGACTCATAGGAACTCTATGCGATTTCTCAGAAATAAACAAGAAAAAGAAGTAACGCCATTTTGTGTTATCGCAAAATCCGCTGCTTCTAGCGGGCAAACCATAGGCCAAAGTCTCTCTGTATAAACGGCTCTCCGTCACCCTAAAGCCCCTTCATGTTTTAAAAGTAGCGCATGGTGCATCGATGCACGAGGCACGTGCAACGCGAAGCCCTTGGGAAGATCATTGCGGCACATCGCCGCACTGAGCTAGATTTCAGACGCCATGTTCTTCCCAAACGTGGCGCACAGCGCGTGTCGCGAGCATTCCCACAACAATGAATGACACCACTTTTTCCAGGATAGAGGGGCTTTACGTCACCCGAACGCCACCCATCCAATGTTTAAATAGTGAGACTTCCTGTGCAGGTACAGGATCACCGCCGGTCTCTTATTCTCCTTAGTGTATTTTGTAGGCTGGACACCCTGTGCTCTCTTCAACAAGGTGCATACCACGCCTGACATTAGGTCTAGCGGATACCCTGTTTCTTTCAGCATGGCTCCTTGTTTTCCAAAGCTGTCTCACGAAGTGTGAAAGCGCGACATTTTCAGTGCGGAGCCTAGATCGTTCATTATGACGAGACGTAACGGACTTTTAAAAGAAAGGTTATATGTTAATGATGCTTTCTCCATGGTGCAGCCTTCTTTGTGCGCTATTAAAGGAAGCATTTTTGAACGGGTGTTGTGTATGAGCATTTTTTTTTAAGTGCGGACTATGAACCAGGTGCAGACCGTGCATCTGGTGCAAACTGTCCAAGGAAAAATCTTTTTTCAGTCAAACTTTTTCTTCGTGCACTATATGTGTCTGTGGATTATAGTCCGTTAAATAGGGTATTCTAAAGGAGAAGAGTGGTTGTCTCTACGCACAAAAATAGGCCGTAATTACATTAAGAATTCTGGACGTGGTCGGGCGACAACTTAAGCTTTCTACGCAAGTGTAGCACCGTAATTTTAGGACTAAAATCTGCATTCGGCCTTCGTGGGTAACTTTCGGTTTAAAGGTTTTCTTAAGACAGTCAGCATCCGGTGCCCGTAGGAGCAAATTCTCATACGCCGCACACCTTAACAAATGCCTGCTTTGTGACATGGCAACGATTTATACATAAATCATCATTAACATAATGTGTCACTCACAAAGGTTTTCAAGTTTCGTCATAACGATTTATTTAGAAAGAAGAAAAAATCCTTGCAAAGTCCGCCCCTGGAGATTGCCCGCACCGCGTAAATTTTTTATAGAAAATATAATAATTTCCAAAAAACACAATATTGGAGGAGAGAAGGGAAATAAGCTCTTTACAAACAGCTTGTCTAGTCCCAAGCCCCTATTCGAGTCTCCAGCTCGTTGCTCGCCCTCCCGCGGCGGAAACGGAAAGCGGTCTAGTGAGGGTCCCCCGCTTCTCCTCCTCAGCGGGCACGGCGGAACTGCTCGCAATCAGGGCTCGCGAAATCTCATTTCCCAATGCAAACAACACTCTTCACTGTCCCAATGTAGTGCTGCAGCCGATATGGGATCGTACCATATTAGAGAGCTATAGTATTGCGTATGGAAGCATAAGCAATCGCCGTGCATTTGCGTTAAGGATCGCTTATAGTCCGACGTCCGGCGTACAAACGTGGCGTAGTGCCGCGCGCACCACTACTGATGGCTCGCAGATATCGAGTTCCTGCTCGCCGGCCAATCAAAGGCCCACGTGCAGCGCTACGCTGCGTTTGCAGCGCTCAACGTCAGAGTATTACAGAGACTTTAGAGTTGCGTGCTGCAAGCTGCCCATGTGCGTCGTCGCCATGCTCGAATCTAAGACCGTAATTTTGGGCTCCGCGCACGCGCAGTGTGCAACACTGCGCGTGCGCGGAGCCCAATAACGCCAACAAACAGTGCTTACGTTCACTCGTATAGGCAATACTAATACTCACGACTGTTTCAACGGTTCCCAACGCCAACGAAACGTGCTGCAGCGAGCAGACGTGCAAGCGGCTAGGCGTTCCTTCAAACAGAATGGCTGGGATTGCCATACCGACGGCGCATAAAAATCAAAGAAAATAAATTTTCTTGGAAGATTTGTAATAAAAAAAAGCAAGAACGAAATTTCTTTAATCCTTAGTTTTTTTTGTTATTTTTCTTTTATAGGGGGGGTGGCATTTGGTCTGGAAGGATTCGCGGCGACCTTGGAAGTTTCGCCGATTGTCGAAAGTCGCGTCTTTTACAGCACAATATGATTTACCCAGAATTAATGAAATTTTGTATGGATTTCTCAGAACAGCTATAACGTTTCGATTTATTTTAGACACTTTTTATTTCTAACATGTTAATTAAAAATGCTGCAACTGGTACCAGTCATGATAATTTGCACGCATTTGATTGCAATACGTGATCGCGCGTATGAAATTAGATGATAAGCAACACATAATATTAGAACTTCAAAAACTCTTTAAGGTATATAAATTGTATTAATAATATTAATACAAATTGCAGCAATGTAGGCCCCCAATAAATGCCACGATCACAAAAATACACAATTTAAGCATAATAATATTCCAAAAAATGTCTTTTTTTTAGCATATGAAAAACTCTTAGGTCACTATCAAGAGGGCCAAGCAGTCAGACACTGAATGTAATATAAAATCTTATCCGTCAAGCGTTGCTTTAAAACGGACACACACACACACTTTTGCTGCCTGACTCAGATTCCGCCTTTTGGTTTCTGTAGTGAGAGCACCAATTATTAAGTAATACGTTTTGTGAACATATTCTGAACTCATCACCCGTGGCGATATCTTCTAAAAGTTGAATTGATTCTGTTATTCTTGCGCTGGGAATAACGTTAAAGCAATTAATCATCTAAATACCCTAAAACCCATTAAAAGGCTAGCAGCTCATTATTTCACATGACAATTATCTGGGCGAGAAGAGGAAGTCTTTAAAAGGACACTGAGCCTCCAAAATATTTTTAACTGCATGAATCGGACAAGTACGTCACAAAATAAAGTTTCCGCGAAAGACTGCTTTCGCTTAATAATTACGCTGTGAGACACATCCTGAGGTATGAAAGAATCCGAAATGAACACCTAGAAATTAAATACCAAATAGAGGTTAGTTTCGGTCTCGTTCCAGACTTAAAACGTGCCTCCTGGAGTAAATATTACCCTAAACACCGTTTTTGTTTTCAGGATAAAAAGGTGACTTGCACGCATAACACCCTGTCTCCTTCGTATAAGCGTATAAGCAGAAATAATTTGTGTCGCTCAGTGAAGCCAGCACACTGGACAGGCTTGGCAACTGGAATACCGGCACGCATCTCCGACCCTCACTACAACCGCCATCTTGTAAAACGACAGGCGCCACCCACAGTGAACTGGAGTCGCGAATATACCGAAAAATACTTTTCCAACATGCCAAGGACAACCAGGTAGACCAATGCAATGTCGGAGAATGGCAGCGAGAGCATAGCACAAGTTGATTCTCCCGCTTCCTCCGGCACACGAGTCGTCTCGCCTTTCCAACTGCCTAGCAGCACAATGGGTTCTTTGCCGGGCCAACAATCTGCCTTTAGTTCTCTGCATTTGTGAAAAGCCAGTTAATGTAGCCTCCAATTAGCGTCTCAGTACAGTTAAGAATTAAACCTAACCACAGTTTAAGAAACGTCACAACGTAGTGAAATTCAGAAGAGTTCTGAAACGGAGATTTTCAAGGCGATGGACATGCGACGCCATGTGTACCTGGAGGTTGTAGGTGAAAGGCAGCTGCAGCTGCAGGTCCGCCTTCCACTCCCTGCCGAAAAGGTCGTTCAGGATGCCCCGGTCGACGCCGTCGAAGGACGCCGTGTCCCTGGCGAACTTCATGACGAGGCCGTGAGTCTTGGCCGAGGGCTGGAACACGAATACACCGGTGTCGAAGAGATCCGGCCAGCCACGGAGCGGCGCCGCCGAGAACTCGCGCCACTGGAATAGCTCGTCACAGTTGGCCAACACCAGGGTGTCGGCGTCCAGGAAAACACCCTTGGAGAGGTTCGCCAGGCGCCAGCAGTGCAGTTTGGTGAACGAGGCGCGCACGTTGTCGCGATGGCGATCGGGGCAGCCCAGTGGGTCCTTGCCGCTGAGCACCGAAAAGAGAGCGCTGCTGGAGCGATGGACCGGTTACGGGTTTCTATCGTTTCGTCGAAACACGTCACGTGAGAACACGTTCGGTAGACAACCTTTTATTTATTCACGTTCCAACGACACACGTTTCGTCGACACTCTGACATTTCGTGGGAACTTCGCTCCTACGACGTTGCGCTTCGTCGACAAAATATTTTTGTTGCTATAACTGGATTGGATTACTGGCTTTATTTCGTTCGTTAGAGGTCATTCCAAACAATATCAGGCTCCGATAGAACAAAAACGATCGTCACATGATGCACGCTGCTGCAGTAGTTCAAGAAAACGGCGTCTGCGTCTGACATGCGTCACGAACATTGAGTTGTAACTACATTCTTAGTGACAGAAGAAAAAACCGTGGGAAAATAGTCACAACCGTTTGTGTGTTCTGCATAGAAGTTGTTGTGTCAATAAAAGCACAAATGGACGTTGGGTAAAAAAAATTATGGCCTCAAAAATTGAGGAAATGCATCCGATCGATATGATCGGTCGCGGTCGAGGCGTCCTGCCACCGACACAAGCCGAGAAATCTGGCTACGCCTGATGACATTATTCGTGCGAATCGGTACTTCAGAATACTAGAGATTGCCCTGCATGCATTTTTTAGTGAGCGAAGAAAGCCAATAATCGAAGTTACCTGCGTTAGGCCTAACAAGAATCCAGAAGACATTTGTTTTATTCAGCACGGCAACGCACATCCTCACAAGCATAAAAATTCAGGAGGCGATCTTCCACTTTTGTTGTACATGTACTCCCCATCGCCCTTATAGTCCTGATTTGATCTCGTCATATCTGCCTTTCTCGGGCTGCCTAAAGGATGCACTGCGCGGAACAACGTTTAAAGACGACGAAAGCGCTATTCAAGGAGTGAGGACATGGCCACGTAAGCAGGAAACGAGCTGGTACAAGAAAGTTATGCATGTCCTTGTTCTGCGCTAGCATAAAGCCGTAAAACTGATAGGAGATGTTATTTTAAAAAAAGTATTTGTGCAATAAACGTGGTGATATTTTACGTGAATTCCATTCATTTTGAATTAACAGTTTCAAAGAAAGAAAGAGAGGAGGGCTTTACTTTCAGCGGAACCTTCGCAGAACGAGAACGGTATCAGGCAGGCACAACGCCCAGCGTGCCGAATATCAAAGCAAACTTCGTAGAACCGCTAAGAACTCGCACTTCACGATGGTAACCGAACGAAAGCTCACCGGACAAGAAGCGCACCGAACAAAACATTCACCGGACAAAAGCTCACCTATTTTTTGGCGGACATGGACAAAAGCTCACTCATTTTTCGGTGACACCGAACAAAAGCTCAACTTTCTTCTTTAGAGCACAGCTTTTAGGCGCCCGTTTCCGGCTTGAGTGGCGTCGCCGTCGCCGTCACCATCAGGTAACCGCGCGTTGCATTATGAGACGTTTCTTATAATGACGTCACACGTGACGTCACGTGTGACGCCACGACGGTCACGAGTGACGGACGTGTGACGTCCCGAGGATCTCGAGTGACGTCACGTTTGTGACGTCACACGGCGCCTAAATTTAGCAGAAACTTTCCCAGCTAAATTAAGCGGAAAAATTACCCGCTAAATTTAGCGGAAAAGTCGGGTAACAATTAAAAAAAAAACGCAAATTGATTTTTTTTTTTTTTTTTGTGTGGTTGTTGGCGGAGCAAGGAGCAACGGAGTTAAGAGGGTAGGTGCAGGGTGCGGGGTGGTGGACATATGGACCATGATTGTACTCCTCACGAACCCCAGGCGACGGTTTTATGAGCCATTATAGTTTCTTGCTCTTTTCAGCACTCGAAACAGGCTGTTCGTTTTCCAAGAAGCCGTGGTACCTTGCCTTCACATTGCCGCGTGCACAGCCGAGAAGGAACGCTTCCCTTTACTTCTACAAGATTCGTGTTTCCTCATAGCCTCCTCTATACTCACAGAGCCTGGCAGTTCGACGACGGAGCCATAGAGTGCCCGGTCGCAGATTTGGAGCGCGAGGATCTGGTAGCACAGAGAATAAGAGAACCATTTCTCCGGAAACCTGGACGTCAGCGCACAGCTTTTGCAGCGGTGAGGACCGGAAACACACTTGTTCTCTCGGGAGAAGCGTGTTTCGGCGTCTCGCCGCAGCGGGGCGCCAGTCACGTGGCGCTCCTCTCATCCGTTGTCTGCCGCTCCACCTTCTGCATTGTGGCGGCCGCTTCTCATGGCGATGTGCCAGGCTTTGTCAGTATATAGGAGGCCATGGTGGTTTACTCTTACCTGAGTTTAATAGACAAGGAGGCCAACATGACCTTGCCGAGTCAGTCTCCCCAGTGTTCGACGTCCGAACATTCTAGACCGAAGGCTCGAGATACCAAGGGTAATAGATAAGGAGTTCAGCGCGGTCTTACCGACTCACTCTCCCGATGACGACAGACTCTCGCGCGAGCTGCAGCTGTCACGCCTACGCCTCGATGCTTCCTGCTGCTTTCTCTACGCTCGTTCTTTCTTTTGCTTCCGGTAGAAGTTCGCCGATTAAGTCTCCATTTTCAGTTTTACATCTGTTGACCCTTTTCCATCCGCTACAATACAGACAGTCGAATCCTCCCAGCCTGGCTGACCGTACGAGCAAATTCAAAAAATTACACCATCTTCCCGAGGGGAACCATGGGGTGATGCGGAGCATCGCGGATCGTTATTAACGGTGTTATTAACGGTGTCAGTAACGTTGTTAGTAACGTTGTTAACTCGCGTGTTATTACGTTGTTAATTTGCGTTGGTTACCACACATCGCGTGAACGTTGTTGGAAACTCCGCGATGCTCCGCATCACCCCATGGTTCCCCTCGGGAAGATGGTGTAATTTTTTTTAATTGCGCAGACGAAGGTCAAACGGTTAACGAAGGTCTCGTTGCCGTAGTTCAGGGTCTGCCGCTCGCTTCAGGCGTTTGCGCTCAGCGTCGCGTGCCCTTCGCTGCGCAGCTTTGTCTTCAGTAGACGTAGCGTTGCTGTTAGTTTGTGGGGTGGTGCTGACGCTTGCTTGCGCCAACCCACTAACTGACGGGACTGTTGCTTCCATCACACTTCATCGGAAGAACGGTGTGAAGTGGAGTCAACAGCGGGTGAACTGAACGCGCGCAGCGCGCTACCGCTGCTTATATTCACACTTGAAGGAGAGGAGACTAGAGGAGGAGAGTTGCGCATGCGCGCGCGGTGTGAGTAGATGCGAACGCACGCGAAGTGCACGCAGCTGGTAGAGAGAGAGAGCGGAGAGAGTAACGCGCAGCTGTTGGAGAGAGGGAAGGAGGAGAGTTGCGCATGCGTAGTGCGAGTGCGGACTACGACGCCGCGGGACATAGACCCGAGCAAGAGATGCTCCGCATCTAAAACGGGCTCCGGTCTGTCGTGCTTCCTGCGATTTCATTTCTTTCCCTCGCGAACACTCTTGTGTCACGGTGCTGAAAGGTGGAAGGCCACTGCAACGCCCTTCTTCTGCTCTTTTTCTTCTTCTGACGGGACGGAAGAAATCAAACGAGTAACTTTAGTAATTCGTTACTGAAAAGGTAATGAAATTCTATTAGAGATTGAAATTTTCACTAAATTATTTGATTAATTAATAAATTTAAAATATACTAATTCGCAAGTAATTTCGTTCTAGTGACGGATAACTTCCATGCCTGCTTACTGCCTTTCTCAGGCAGTCCAGGGACGACTTTACATTGACGAGCGGCAAGCAAAGGCCAGTGAGTGTCTGTAGTCGAACAAGGAAACATTGCATCATGAGTATGTACATGTTCGCGAAGTTGACAGCGCTCTCACGTTGCCTCGTCACCAAAGGCTATGCAACGAATATACTATTTTTACGAGAATTGCACGATGACCACATGGTCTCGGCCATCGCAGAGGGATTGCCACCGAGCTAGATAAACACTTCCATAATGTATAGAAAGCGTGTGCAACCGGACAGGCCACCTGATTTTCAAATAAACCTAAGCCCTCGAACACCTTCTACACCATCCGCTTTCGACAAAAATGCCGTACTAGCACAACCGATTAAATACCGAATTAACAGTATGAGAAGTATTGTTTTCGGAAGGGCAGAACGCTCGGTATCGAGCCATAGCACAAAAATATCGAGTCGCGGTTTTCTGACATCTGTTGAGATGCTTTGAGCCTTCCTTGTTCTCGAGTTGGATGCCGCTAGTTATAAGCATCCTGCAATTGTGCCAGACCTTTCCCAAGCTGGTTCGGACACCAACCTGTGACCTCAAAGGGATCACTAAAACTCCTTCCCAGAGTTCTCCGCAATTCGCAGGCGCAGGGGCGTCAACGAGTCGTTTATAGACGAACCGTTTGCGCCAAAACGGTTCAGTAAACAGCCCACTGTTTTGGGACACGACAACTAGGCAGGATCATGCAAGGGGGTCGCCACTGCCAGGTACTTACCTGTCACCCGCACGACCACATTTGCTTAATTAAGGTTTTTTTTCTTTTTTAAAAAAAAATAACGCTTGTACACTGGGCTGACATAAACGCTTGCATGAACTTAGGCCAGGGGCTTGTATTACACTGGTGCAATACTTAATTGAGCAAGCAGGCTGGTGACTGTTCATTTCCACAAAACAAAAACTAAGAAGGAGAAAAATATAAGAAAGAAAAAAAAAACAGGTACGATAGCAAAAGTTGTCACAGGTGTTTTTGAACCTTTTTTTGTTTTCCTCGGTCTCAAATATTCGTGCAGATAATTTTATTGTGCAATCTTTGTGATAGAGAGATCGTTTGTTAGTTATCGGCTCTCAAATAATTAGGAAACCTGATTTCACGTTTCTAGTTGTTAGCTAGAAAATGTAATTAGATGCACACACAATTTTAACTGTTTAAAATTGCCAAATGGAGGGCCGGAAATCCACGCTTTCCAACATACAGTGTCATTTCTTTGTTTCCCAAAGCAACCGTAAGCCGTTACGTTTGTTCGCAGACGTTTTTGTAAGGTTGGTCCGGTGACGCTCTACTCTACGAATAGGCTGTCTGTTTAACAAACGCGACGAAGCCCCCGGGACGCCAAGCGGTCATTGCTGGAGGGGAAGGGACGTACCAGAGCAGCGTGACCTGCTGGATGTCGTCGAAGACCTGGGAGAGGAGGTGCTTCATGACAACGCCCACGTCCCTGGTGACAAGCACAACCAACTTCCTGGAGGTGTGCACGTCGCGAAGCGAGTAGCCAAGCACCAAGGCTCCGAACGCGTACACGTCGTTGGTGGCCAGGGTCACGAAAGCCTCCTCCGTCTTCACATCGGGTGGCGGCTCGTCGGCAGAGAATAAGCCACAAGACGCCATGTCGCTGCTGGGTTCCTGCGGTGACGGTGTGGCGCAATTAGCTCGCTCAAGTTGGGTAACCGAACTAATAATGATATACTGCGTGTCTCGACTTCTTGAAAACTTGGTGCGTGTTAATTGAGACACCCTGTATATCGGATAATACTTCAAGACAGAGGTCCGATTTCGAAAAATTTTGTTTATGCAGAGTACACTCTTGAGTCCTTCCCACCCTCCTCCTCCTCCTCCTCCTCCTCCTCCTCCTCCTCCTCCTCCTCCTCCTCCTCCTCCTCTTCCTCCAACCCCTCTCCGGAGCTCTAATGACAGTGTCAAAACCTACGTTCATCCTCTAAATTCAGCGAGACTAAGGGTGCCGTGCAACGCTATTGGGAATGTTTCTCACTTTACAAAAACTTACTGGCACTAGTGGGGCCCAAGTATACTCGCACGCGACACCACTGACCAGTCTATCTATGCTGGAACGGAAACTAAATGATGTAGAAAACTGCATCCGGCACTGATTGGCTATTTTGTCAGGTCACGTGACATGACTTTGAAATGTAGTTTTTCCCTATGCAGTTCGAGCTATGCTCGCAAAAGGATGCAGTTGGCGGTGACGTCAAAATATCGTCACGATGCACTTTGAAGATGCAGTTAACTCAGTGGTCGAGACGAAGCTGGAGATCGTTCTGCATCGTAAAATAAGGCGACTCTAAAATATGCATCTCTACTGTTGGGTTCGCCAGCGGATCGAGCTTTTAGAGATCACCGACATGCTTTCGAGACGAGCGATGCGAGGTTTGTGGGCGAACCGGCTGACCAAAGGGGTGACTCGCCGGCTGTGCGACCAGCTTCGCGGAAAACTCCAGCGGCGTCGGGAAGAGCCCCGTGTGCTGACGGTTGAACAACAAGTCCTCGCAGCTCTACGCTTCTACGCCGCTGGCGGCTTCCAGGGAACCGTCGGGAGCGACAAAAACATTGGTGTTCACCATTGCTCCGTGAGTCGCGTACTTGTTGATGTCACCAACCCTGTTCGCAACTTTCAGCGATGGTGATACCGCGGTGTGAGAATCGTGCTCCCTAGCTCCTGGATGATACGCTTCAGAATAAAGGTGCTTGCCTACACACTTCCTGTTGTGAAAAAAATAATGTAAGGCTCTAATACTGCTCGTATATAGCAAAACTAGAATTACTTACTCGTCGCGGACCCAGCCTCGTACTGCTGTTCTACGACATCATCCAGATGACAGCCATTTTGATAGGCGCCCCCTATATGTCGTAAAAGTTGCGAATCATCGATTGCCTTGGATAGAAGTGACTGTGTTTCCAGCAACCCCAAGCAGAGAATGCGCTCACAAAAAGGAAGTTCTTCGAGCGATGCAAGTTCAGCGGCGTGATTGATATTCTAAATACTCTTACACGATTCAACACCATTGTGTTTTCATTTGAGTTCACCCGGTATAAGCAAATTCGCTGAGCAAGAAGCCAAGCAACGGTAACAGGCTAAATTTGAGCTAGTTGGTTCATAGTTCAGGTATATATATATATATATATATATATATATATATATATATATATATATATATATATATATATATATATATATATATATATATATATATATAGTCCGGCCTTCGTCTTCCTGACGAAAGCCGGACTCCGGCCGAAACGTCGAAGATTAAATCGTCCGTTGTTGCTGTTTTCACTAAGGGTTTTTTCTTCTCAGTTCTATATATATATATATACTTTATTTTAAAGCAACTACTTCAGGAAAGGCCAGCTGAACTAGAATAAACATACACATAAAGAAAAGACCATACACACCGTGGGACTAACTGATTTTCTTTTTCCTCCTCTTCTACTACAAGCCCCACTTGAGGGAAATATTCTTTTCTTCTTTTTTTGCTTCCTACTTGACCGAAAATGTAACCTTCGAAGGAATATTTCTTTTTTCTCGTGCAGCACGAGAGACGTTGCACTAACGCAGTCAAAGTAAAAGAGTCGTCGTTAGTTGTTTATACAGCAGGAGGTTAGTCTGCCTGAACATGGCGACATTGTTACCCACTGTAGATAAGCAATTTAGCCAGTGCAGTACGCCTGCTAGCCTGGGGTTCTTAACCTGCACCACGCAGTAGTGATATATGGCCGAGCAGCACACACTATATCCAAATCCCGTAGTCACTATAACCGAGAAAGACATTGTTAATTCTTGTCTGTGCACTTACTGCCTCGAGCTTCTCGAAGAAGCACACAATCACTTGGTGTCCTCTCCCCGTCTTCGATCGAAAAGAAACAAAGGGACTAAGAAAAGTAAATATAACTTGCCCCCCCCCCCCCTTTTTTTTTTTTTTTTTGTAGAAATGCTTATTTGGATTTTTTTTTCACATTGTAGTTAGGGTCTAAAAAGATGGATTCAGGAGCTTGCTGTTGCAAAAAAAAGCTTTGCGGAACTGAAGAGTGCAAAGCCTCCCTTTGCGTCATTTCGGTAAAGTGTCACTGAGCTCGACTTTACCGAAATAAAAGCAACCCTTTCTTCAGAAAAGGGTGGGGGGAAGGGGGGGGGGGGGGGGGGGTGGGTCCTGAAAAAAAAAATGTAACGGATTACAAGGAATTCGTTACGTAAAAAATGTAAGGGAATTACTTTAAAATTACTCCAGAAAATATGTAATTATTCTGTTACTAATTACTGATATATGTAAGGGATTACAAGTAATTTCGTTATTTGTAACGGATTACGTGCAAGTCTGCTCAGAGCTCGGAACTCGTTGTCGCGGTTTCTGCCACTCTGCCACTTATAATTAACCGACGTATTAAAAAAAAAAAAAAAAAAAAACTGATGTTGCGAAGCGTACTGACGGATGTTCGATGAATTCAGGGAACCTGAATTCATCGAACATCCGTTCGATGGTAACCACGGACCTGTTCGAAGACATATTTTTACTATGTAAATGAAAATATAAGGAGAAACACATATGTTTTAGCTTAATTCAAAGACTTTAGTAGGGTCTTTGAAACCATAATATATTACTAGATAGATTACAGAGCACTGATATTCGGGGAAAGATGCACGACTTATTCCGGAAGCTCAAAATATAGCAGAGCAATCAAAGTCGAGCCGGAAGTACCGTAAGCTACAGTCCTCGGTCCACTACTTTTTAAATTATAAGTTAACGACATAGCCCGAGTCAAATTAAAAAGTGGGCTATTTAAACCTGGAGACTATACAGTAACTGTATATGCGCACAGAAAGTACGAAGTAGCTGTAAAGACGATACAGGAAGACATTTGTAACTTAACAAAATAGTACCGTACCGAAAGAATAAAATTGTTTTAAACATTCCTAGAAACACAAGTATATTATGCTTCAGAGACCCGAGGAAACAAATCCTAACGAAATTTCCAATACAAATGCACGAGCAGAATTGAAATAATTGCTCATGCGTTCCGCTGAAATACGCTGATAATGTCAAATTACTAGGGATGCAAATAGACAAACATATTAAGTGGGATAATCATGTAGAAGAAATTTGCAAACAATTAAGGATATAAGTGGCGCACACGTATCATATGCAATATCTGGTTCCTCGATTCATTCTAAGATTAATATACACTGGGCAAGTCCACATTTCAATACGGAGTAACGCTCTACGGGCACTGTGCCAAATATCTACAACTAAAAATAGAATCGATACAAAAAACGATAGCCAAAAATATGGGTTAAGTGAAGAGACATATCTGCAAAACTATACGCCTAAAGAGCTAGGAATATTGAGTTTTACTGACCAAATGAAGGATTACATTATAAAAAAAAATTAAACAAGAAACATAAAGTGGAAAATGGAAAGGGAAGAACGTTAAGGCCGATAATAAAATTTGTTCAACCAATCACTTATACCAAATATGGAGAAATCATATTTTGTACCCGAATGTTTTAATGAATTACCTGAAAAGTTACTTGAAGATAAAATTCCGCAAAATAAATAAGCTGTCAAAAGCGTAGATACTTGAACAGATCAAAAAATACTTCTAGAAAATTGCTTCGCTTCGATATGTTTAATTGTAGTTAACGACGTGACGTAAGTAGTGCCAAAAATCTAACACATCTTATACATTAGTGCTGTTTTATAAATTATTGGAATAGATTTTAACTATATATTTGTGGAACTAGAAACTCCATTTATTCAGCACTGGCGTGCTCGAGTGCAAGTTATTTAATTCTCTAATAAAAAAATGTAGAGGAATCTCTCGCATCCTACGCACATATGGGATTTACATTTGAACTGTATTTTAAGAAGAAAAAAAAGATTGGATTGTATTGTAAAAAAATAATATTTATATACATTCTATTTTACTCGCCTGGAGCGCTGCTCAAGACATGAGAGCAACGGACGTATAATTTCTATACGCTTTAATTTTTTTTTCCAACCATGGTTTTATATATTTATTTTTTTTACCTTAGCATGGACTACACCGTGGCATGGACTTACTGCTTAGGCTGTGCAAGCGCGAGCGACTTGCCTTGACTGCCTTGATCGGAGCACGAGCGCTCGCGCAGCCGCTGAGGCTTCATCCGAAGCAACTAGCTATAGTCGGATGCAACCTAAGAACAATCTTTTAGCTCCACCCACAAGCGCATTGCGCCCATCTGAAGTGCCTCCGCCGTCGCGAAAGTAGTTCGCTAGCAACGTTGCTTTTTCTTCCTCCAGGAAACGTGTCTTAAACTACTACAATATTTATTTAATTCATTCAGGACATTTTAATAAGTTGGAATACGTTTTTGTCAACGAAATAGCTGTTTAGTAAAGAAAGAAAGTCATGTCCAATGTACCGTCTTCCCAATTCATTTTCTGTCCAAGATACTGTCTAACATACCGTCTTCAAACTCTCAGCAGTGCTAAGCCTCGCGCCCGCTTCGAAATTTTCGTTGGCGATAGCGTCTCTGGATTCTCACGTTGTCGCGCAAAACCTGCTGCAAACGCAAGCCGATACCATTAAGATTTCGTGGCGTAACCTCGGGCACG